AAAGAGATCCAGACCGGGATAACCGGCAACTCCACACCAATGTCCAAAGTAGGAGACCATTTAGTAAGTTTTATGAAGCAATTGAAAATAAGATAAGAATGATGGCAGAAAACTCTGCAATAATCTAGATCATTGGACAGTTTTATGAGGATGTGAGAAGGATCCAAAACCGTCACCGAAACTTCTCCGTTCAGCTTTAAATTAAAGAAAATTTTCCGAATCGACTCGAGAGGGGGACTTTTGGACGGAAAAAAACCAACCAAAGAAAAATGGAAGGGGGCAGCAAGCACTTGGATTTCCTCATCAGAAACCCAAAGCGACGGCATACCACGGTAAGTAGAAGTCCTCAAATCAGAAAAGGAAGAAGAAGAACCAGCTAAAGCTTCAAGAAAAGACTTAGGGTGCGAAAAACCACCAAAAAGACCGAGATCCTTCAATTTATTCGACGCCATACCGGCACCGCCGGCTAAAAAGAGAAACAAACCAAGCTAAAGTCTCCAACAACCAAAATCAGAGAAAGGAAGAAAAAACTCCCTAAAAAATGATGACCAGCGGCGCCAGAAATCCCCCCGCCGGTGGTGAAACACCTCAAGCGACAAACCCTAGTAGAGCTCTCCAAATTTCAAAGATGCAGGATTCAAATTAATAAACTATGTAGTTTCTTGGCAAAATATCTTAGATGCCTATAATACTTTAGGGTAATTTATAAGACATAAAGATGTATGTTTATAATAATAAATTTAATTTTTATAATTTATAATACTGAATTTTTATCTTTTCTTTTTAATTTTTTGGTTTATTAATTCAATATCTACATGACTATCCAAGAAGAGAAATATTGGATGTATAACAGATTATTACCGTAATGAAAAAGATTGACAGATTAATTTGTTAAGGCAGTTAAAACTTTCATTTAAGTCGTATGTCAACTACATTCGTTTAAGTCTGATAGAATGTTTAGATGTTCATGCTCGAAACACAAAAAATTTAAGTTTTTCTTAAGCCCAATGATTTTAAGGTACGAGCCACTTAGAGATAATCATGCCAGTCCATCCATAACTTCTAGAATAATAGATGAAGATCAAATGAATAGACCATATGAATAACTTATTTTTGATGTAAAATCCAAATTTAAAGCAAAAATGAATGAGCCACCAAATCCAAAAATATTTTGTTTGAATTACTACATACTGCTCAAAAAATTATTTTGGATGGTTTCACAGCTCATTCAAAATTATCAGTTGATGTTAGGATGCGCAGTATCAAAATTAAATATAATTTTTCTCATGAGTGCTTCAATGACTTCATTTGTCTTCTCAAATAAACAAATTAAGTGGACAACTTAATCCCCATAGATTTTTATCGAACAAAAAAATTAGTATTCAAGTTGGGTCTCACAATTATAAAAATTCATTGTTATATAAATGATTGTATATTTTACTACAAGGATGATGCGATAGACACTTATTTTAATACCTGCAATGCATCTCGATTCAAATCCAACTCAGAAAAAATAAAATCATAAAAAAATTGTTTCATATTCTCGATTGTTTTATTTACCAATTATTTCAAGATTTCAACATCTCTACGCATTAATGGGTTCAGCAGGTCATATAAGATGACATAAAGATAAAATTAGATCATAGTGTTGTTCTTTCTCATCAATCAGACACTGAAGCATAAAAATATTTTGATCAGACACGTGCTTTCATTTGCTATCACACAATTTAATATAAGAATGATCGAGATTATATGCTGATGATTTCACTCCATACAATTAGGCAGCTTTACCATATTCTTGTTTATCAATCATATTAACATTATACAATCTTCTACTAGAGATGTGCATGATTACGTCGTACATATTCTTAACACTTATAATACTAAAATCACATAATTAACGACCTCAAGTTCTTATGAGAGGAAGGTGTCCTCATATATAATATCTCAACCAAACAGAATTTTCTCCTTGAAGCTACATTGCTTTGGAATATTTGTGATTTTTCATCTTAAAGTATGTTACACTATAGGAAATCACTCATTACCAGAGGAATTTCCAGTGTATTTTCGAAGGAATAATTTTCGGTAGATTTTCTAGCATATCATGATTTAAAATTTATAGCAGATCTTCAGCAAGTTCTTTCGACGGAGTTCCGACGGAATTTTTTCTGGGGGATTTTCCGGCGGAGTTTAATAATTTTTGAAAAAATCATATAATAATAAAATTTTAATTAATTATTAACTCTATCTTATGCGAGGCGATGGGAAGCTGCTACAGGAAGGTCCGGACAACACAAGTGTCCCAAGCAGGCGGTCAGAAAGTTGATGCAGGCATGCTCCGGGTAGCCCAGGCAGGTCGACTGGAATCTACAGTGGGCTACCAATTTTTTTTAATCAAATTTCTTTATTCCAGCAATTTTTTTATTCCAAAAATTATACCAGCGAAAATATCTCGCTGAAAAAATTTCTTGCAATTTTTTTTGACGGAACATGTTCCCGACACTTGTTTTACCTTCAAAAAATATTTGGCCAGAAATCCACCGAAAAACTTTCAAATCTGTCGGAAAATGAATAATTTTTCACCGAAAAATCTGACGATAATACATGATTTTCCTGTAATGTTATTGGGTGAACACAACATGAAAGTAAGCAAGGTCTTCGATAAAAGTCTGAAAGCATTAGCGTGGGGCCCAATGCAAAAAGCAAACATAAGGCCAATTTATAATAGTTAATGAGTTTATATTTCATTCAAAGTCGTGCATGGAGCGAAGGAAGAAATATTAAAATTAATGGAGTTTCTGTTAGAGGAAATACTCATGAAGAATATGAGTGTAATCATTATGGTATTCTAGATGGGGTTCTTGAGCTTAAGTACACAAGAGAAGCTAAAAATCTTACATGTTTATTCAATTGTCAATCTTGTATCGAATAGAGGCATAAGGATTCATCCTGCGTATGATTTAGTAGAGGTAAAATATAATATGTATTAATCATAGGATAGCAAGGAGACGTAAGATGATTAGATTTAAGTTAATGTTGAAGTTGTTGTTGGACTTTGAAGAACAAGCTTTTCTTTGAGAACATATTAATTTGAACTATTTATTATAATTGAAATTTATGTTTTAAAGTTTGTTTATGTTGAACTTTATATTTTCATGTTGTTAGACTTATGTTTTATAATGTTTCAAAGTTTGTTTATTTTAAACTTTATGTTTTCAATTCTTTTCGTATGTTTTGATTGTGAATATTATGTGTTAGTGCATTTTATTTTGTATATATTATGCATTTGCTGTAGGTATCAAATGTGGAAGAATTTGTGGACAATTAAGAGGTTGTCAATTTTTTTTTTTACCATGTTATAGATTTCTGGAAGCCTAATGCCAAAAACTTTGAGGTTGGCCAGGTGACATGCCACTGGAATAATAAAGAATTTTATGGAGAATTTCGGTGGTTTTTCGGCAGTCGGACCGATGAAAAATACCAGCGGCCAAACTACCGGTAATGCCGCCAGAAATCTCCAGTGACTATTTTGCAGAAGTCGCCGCTCCGACCGCCGCTTGGAAATAATTTCTTGCGAAAAAAGTGACTACAAATTGCGTTTCCTACACACCTTATACTGACAGAAAGAATAAGCTGTAAAATAGTCGGAACATTGAAATTCTGCTGGAAAAGTGCCAATTTGCATAGAAAGATTCATCAGTAATGAACGATTTTCTTGAAGTGTGAAGTATTTAGATAAACAGCTATGATTCTTTGTTTTAATTGACTAATTCGTACATGTTTTTACTCGAAATATATTAACTCTTACGCACCAAAAATAAAGTGACATTATTATGCTTTATTTGGGATAGTTTTACCACATTTTTTTGCTGCTTTCAAGACAATTTTGTATTACAAAGTTGATGTAGAAAGCCGTAAGAAAGCCTTAGAGTAAGGTTTTAGTTTAAGTCAACTTTCTTATTTTTTTTTGAAGTAGCTTTTTAGTACAAAAATATCTTAAATTTTTGTAATAGAAAACTTTTTTAGAAAGCAATAAGAAAGCTGTCCCAAATGAAGCTAAAGTTTTTTAGTACAGTTTAAAAAATATATATATTAATAATTTTTTTTTAAATAATAAAAAAACTATCCCAAATGAATACTAAATCTAAAAAAAATAATTATCATAGGATTAATGTTAACAAATTAATCTTGTTTATTTGCCTAACTGAATGTTTGAAAATATTTTTAAATAGAATGTAGACTAAATAGATGGATATCTAATTGATGAAATCAGTAAATTATTATAATATTTTTGCATTTTCTCAATGCACAATCACATATGACACGCATAAATACACAACAGAAAACAGTACAGGCCATGACCTCACGTTACCAATTGTATTTATTGAACACAAAATCCAATATGGAAATAATTTTGAAGGGCACAAACCAGTTTGTAATTTGTATTAGCTCAACATCAAAATAATCATATATTTTAACTTATAATTGCGCTTTTTTTTTGATAAAATTTGGTATTTATTGCTTGTCAGAATAAATTCTTTCATCATGATTTTTATAAATATATAAATAAATAGTTATCTTTAAGCAAAAAATTTGGCCATTTAATATATATAAATACACACTGAAGGGAAATTCTTTGGTAGATTATTAGATGAGCCTAACTCGTTAGCTGCAATCACATAATAATTATTTCAATAACAAAGACATGACGATAGTAGATGCACCACAAGTTATCTCCCACACAAAAAAATATTTGAAAATAAAAAGATTAAGGGTCAAAGAGAATTATTCAAAATAAGAAGTTTAATGATCTATTTAGAACGACTGTAGTATTTTATAAAGATAACGGTGAATAGTTTAAAAAAAATAGCTTTTTTAAAAGCTGCTGAACAACTATCTTCGAGCTATAAGCTCAACTATATATTGAATCAAATCCTGAAAAACTTATTCAGGATTTTAAAGTACATGATCATTACCCATTAAACTATAATAAATCTTCACTAATCTTTACCCACGCCTAAAAAATCTATGTAAGGGACATCCTTACTTCTCAAAGTTTCATCATCTTTCTCTTCCTTATTAACACCACCAGAAGCATCCCTCAAACACCCCCTATGCTCCTCCAACACACCAAAACGCCAATAAATAGTAGATGAGTTAGAGAGCTTTTGAAGAGGATGATGAGAACTCCCCAAGTTACCATAATTATACTCATAATGATTAAGCTGATTAGATGAAATTGAGCAGCTGGTCTCGGCCTGATTGAATATGTGACTGTGATCTTCTTCATGAAAGCTACTTTGGTTGGTAAGGAACTTGGTCTTTTCTCTCTGCCTTCTAGCCATGATTACATGCCAATGGTTCTTGACAGCGTTGTCGGTCCTGCCAGGGAAAAGCCGGGCTATAAGAGCCCATTTGTTGCCGTGGAAGCCATGGGCAGCGAGGAGTCTCTCTTCTTCTTCTTCGGTGAAGGGTCTTCTGTTGATTCTTGGGTCTAGTTGGTTGAACCACCTTAACCTGCAGCTTTTCCCTATATATCCGTTCATTATATATAATTAGCCAACCATTAAGAATAACTAATAAATAATTAAGCATATATATATTTAGAGTGAGAGATTAAAAAAATTTGATATTTGATTTGCTTGTAATTCGAGATATTAGTCAACTCATGCATCTATAGTTAGGGAGATTCAACTACATTAATGTTGCGAATCTGTATTGATTAATGTTGACATTGATATGTTCTTATGTCTCATGATTAAATTTATTTAAATTAAAAAATAAAATAAAATAAAATATTAGATTAGCGTGTATTTTGTAATTGTGGGATAATTTAATTGACTTTAATTATATATATTCTTTCTTTGGATTCTATAAGATAAAATAAATATATAGATATAATATACTTTCTTACATAATAGAAAAAACAGTAGCTTATTAGCCGACTATTTTTAAAAATCATGAGGGGTAATTTTTCAATGGCTAGAGGAGTATTACGCAATATTTTCTTTCTTTTTAGATTTTATTTGAGACGGCTTTCTTATTGTTTCTGAAAATAGCTTAATTTTTATGCTAAAAAGTTGCTTTAAGAATCAGTAAGAAAGACATCCTAAATGAAATCGTAATTAGATTTCTAAGATTTTAATCATGATGTTTTTCTTATTGTTTGCTAAATAATTTTTTTTACATAAATTTCTTAAAAATAATGAAAAAATAATGATCAGTAATGGTCCTAAACAAAGCCTAATTCTATTTTGTATTACTTTATATTAATACAATATTTTTTTAATAGAAGAAAATAATATGTAACAATTCAAAGTGAAGGAAATCTTCTACGCAGTAATCGTCCCATAATCTGTTTTAATGAACTCTAACCTCTAACAAGGAAGGCAAAAATAATAAACGAAGGTGTAGTGAGAGATCAAACTTCAGGCTGAGTGAATAACAAATCTGTTGGTGTTATAGACGTGCAATTAGACAGATATAGAAAGAAACTGATGACAAAGAAAATTCTGAGACAACCCTTCTCTTTCCATCATTTCATCTCTCTCTTGGTACTGGATTAAGTGATACCCAGTTTATTTTAATTTCCTTCTAAGTGCTTTGCTCATCAGGAGGAATTCTGAAACGGACGTATTAGTTGCTCATTGAATTAGGCTATCCCTGTGATGGATAGTGGGGAGAGAGAGAGAGAGAGAGAGAGAGAGAGAGAGAGAGAGAGAGAGAGTTAAGTTTGGTTCATCAAGGCCTTGCTCTTACACACCTGATCTTCCCTGCAATTTCTCAGCAATAGAATTCCAGTTCTGAGGCCCAAACTCCTCAACTAGTTGCTTCAGCTTCTCGTCTTCTGCAGGTCTCCAATGTCCTCGCGGGCATAGCTTGTTCTCCTCCGGCTTGTCGGCCGCCATGAATCACAGAAGAGCACTTGATCTCCTAAATATAGCTGTATTACAAGAATGCTAGAGAAAGAGAAGAAGCATGTAAGATATAGAAAATTGATGAAGTATTAATGGAAATGAAATTATGGTCGAGTTGAGGAAGTTGGTTCTGCTTAGGGTTTGGATGATCAGAAGTATCTTTCATTAAATATACACGACAAATGGTGATTTGCTTTATGTGCGTGCATGTATCAATACCCGAAATTAACTTGCGTGTTTGGTTATTGGTCCAATACTTCTCTACACCTGTCCCCTTATTAACTTCATTAACAATACTCTTTTAATTAATTAAATCATTGTTCTTCTAACATCTTTCACCTTATTAGCTTCCTTAACAATACTCTCTTAACTAAATCAAATTTCTTCTAACATCATATTTCTCTCTCTCTCTCTCTCTCTCTCTCTCTCTCTCTCTCTCTCTCTCTCTCCACTTGATGAAAGTATTCAAATTTTATAATAAAATTAGGGGGATCTCTATAATTGCATTTTCTATGATTTGTCTTTTGTTCAAAAAGCAAAAGTTTGAGCTTTGATATATATATTTTCAATTTTTATTTAATAAATAATAACTCTTAATCTAACAATAAAAATTAGCTAAAATTTTATAATTTTGTTGCATGTAGTTCGCAAATATGATTTCATCAGGCACAAATTTTGATGTAATTTTTTATCTTAAAATGTATTATTTGAGCCAAAAACTCCAAGTTTTAATTTCAAGATCATTCCAACTCTAAATTTTAGCTAATTTATTGTCTTGACTTAGGACATTGCAAATAGGTGAGATGAGTGCTATGGAACCAAAATCACACATTATACATATAAATTTAAATCAAGCACTTATAAGTACAATCATAAACTTCTTGATGCAAGTTGATGGACCAAATGCCGTTGAAAATTTTTATTTTTATATTTGAAATGAGTATCTTGATGAGTCTTAGATTGTCAAATTTTGAGTTTACTAAGACACTCAAAGTCCAAAAAAATGTAAAATAATTAAGAAAATTCCAGACCTTTTCATGGAGGTCTGAGCTCATATAAAAATAACCAAAATATCATATATAAAAATTGAATCATAAATAAGTCATATTTCCACACATTAGAGAATGAATTTTGGTAAAGAGAATTCTTGAACTCATAGAATTTAATAACTCTGACAATCATTTTGAAACCCCAACCTACTACCTCTAGATTTCCTTGGCTCTGGCTACCCCATCATCTAACACTTAACATTCATTAAGCATCACATAATGCATATCAATGACCAACTTAAAGTGCTATATGGTTAGCTAGATTTAACTTTCGCTTTTTATAATCTAGAAGAAGAGTTTAAATTTTTCTAGAGGTTGTGCCTTAGTGATTTCTTTGGAGAATGCAATTATTGGTTGAGATTTCTACTTCTCAACTCAATTGTGGTGGAAAGGTAGATGTTTAACTATTATTTGAATAATAGGTTTTGTTTATTAATGAATTTAATGTTGTCACTCTTACACCTTGGGGTAGTCTTCATATAATATATTCAAAAAATCCTTCTAGTATCTCCACTCTTAGAGTGGCTCTAAGAATATGCTCTAGTCCTCCTTGAATCTTCTTAGGATTTCATTTTTTAGTTACCTCTGTTAATCATATTTTATTAACCAACTCTTAGTACTCCAAGTTTACTGTGCCCTCTTAATTTTACTGCTATGCCGCTCATAGTGCTTAGTTTCTAATCCTTGGCATTAGTTCATGCTCACTATATATTTTGAGGTTGTTAGATACAAATTTATCCCTTTTTAATACCGTAACTTTACTAATAAGGATACCAAGACAAATTTAATAAAAAAGTAAAGAGTAAAAGAGAAAGAAAAGAATCTAATACATTTTAGGAGAGAAGCCCTAGGATTTCATTAGATTGCTAGAAGTACAAATGACTTTATATGACATGACTTTACCTTGCCTCTATTTATTGGCTTAGGGCTACAAGAAAGACTATATTTTGAGCTATATAAAATAATAAAATATATCACGAGGCTTGACATGTTATTATAAAAATACATGGGAGTGTAGTCGAAATGTAAAAAAGATAGTTGATAAACTTCTAAGTCACTATTAGATCAAAACGTTGACTGGATGAGATGAAGTCTTTCCAACTTGATGATAAAATGAATATGGTGAGTAGCTTTTGAACCTAGTGTTGACTGTACAAAAATATAGCAAAAAAAAAAAAAAGAGAAACCGACATTCCTCTCCGCCGGCCCCACATCACCGAACGATGCATTGTTTCGTTCTAACAACCGTCATTCGACGAAAGAAAGCAATAAAAGAAGAAAGGAATTCAGAAAGAAAAAGAAAAAGGCTCGAGCTCTCGTTCCTGTTCGACTTCGTTGCCTCGCAGGAGTCTAGGGTTCACCTTTCATCTTCCCTTTTCGTTTTTGCTGTTCGGCTTCAGTTCGCGTGAGGGGAAGGATCGCACGAGCCGATCCTTCGACTCGTTTTCGTGCCATTTTTCTTGAGCCAACACCTAGGAGGTTGTGAGACCTCTAGGATCACATTATAGTTAAGACCAATTTAATTCAAGTAGAAAAAAATAAATATTTGAACTTTGTGTTTTATATCCATTTGTATGTATTCAAAAGTATTTTGGTGTGTGAAAAAAGCTTCATATGCTCTAAAATGAGTCCTAGGGATATAGAGTGCATTTCGGCAAAAAATTTAAGATTTTATTATTTGAGTGTCACAATGTTGGGTGTTTGATCCTCGCGGAAATACAATAGCACTAATGTACAAAGTATTGACATTTCAGTACTATAGTCTCAAAAATTTGGAAAATGAACTAGTGTAATAGTGCTAGACCACTAAATGCATTTTAAATATATTTTACATCGACTATTACATTGCATTCAATTGCTAACCCAGCTGAAGTAGGAGAGAGGAGCAGGATTTAACAGAGATAGAAACTCTATTTTGAGCCAATACAGAACATTTTTAGTCATCAAGCTAGGTTGGAAAATTATTTGGATCGAGGTAGGTTACATTTTCCCTATCTCAATTTTTAATATTTTGTTATTTTTAATTTTTTTTTTATATAATTTATTTTTTGTTTCAAAAAAATGATGATAACTTTATATTGGTAAAGCTTTCATGGCATAATTTTAATATGTTATAGAGATTAAGAATTTGAATATTTTATGGAAATTTTTTCGTCATGATTTTGGAATTTATGTAATTTTTATTTAGTAGAAAATAATTTGGACTTTGAAAAATAGATTCATAATATGATTGAAGTCTTAAAATGATGTTTTACACAATCTCAAAAAATTGTTTATATTTTGAAACTGTGAATTTTCGCTTAATAGTGTTTCTGTTGCCTATCGAGAAAGCATTTTGATAATTTTTGAACTGAGTTCAATACTACTTTATCTAATGAAATATTTTGAATATGTATAATATTTTTGAAAGAAATTTGACATTCTGGGATCGAGTGAGAAGGGATTCTGTTATGCTGGAGCAAGTAGGATATCGAGGTGAGATTCTATTATGTTATGAGTTATGATGCTAAGGCTTGAGAGCTATCAAGGAGGGATTCTGCTAATTAATAAGTGACAAGAAATTGGATCCTAAGGGATATTCTAAAATTTGTTATAAAGGTTTTTATTAATGTTTCAATTTTAGTATAGTTTAATTATTATTTAAATGCATTTAGTCTCTATAAGAAAAATCACCCATTACCGACAAATTTTCTGGCGGCTTTCTAGCATAATATTTTCTAGTGAATTTCTGTGGATTACGATGAAATATTTATGACTAATTTTTAGGCAGATTTTCTAGAGACTTTCTGAAGGATATATATATATTACCAAATACATGGAGTGTTGAAGGTGATGATACTTAATCATGACAGTAAGTTTACCTCCAGGCTATGTAGCAGTATTTCGTAAGGATTAGGAACAAAATTGTAGTTTGGTATGACTTTCATCCATAGATAGACAGAAATTTAAAAGGACTATTCAGGTACTAGAGGATCTTTTGAGACTCCATGTTCAAGATTTTGGGGTAGTTGAGAGGATTATATCCCACTGACAAAGATTGCTTATAACAACAGTTATCAGTTTAACATAGTTATGGCTCCTTATGAAGTATATGACCCTTTCTTTTTGTTAGAGGTAAGTGATAGACAGGTGTTCAACGTTTGGGGATGACACTACAACAAAGCTCTTTCTGATTAGAAAAGGATTAAAGTTGGCTCAAGACATGCAGAAGAAAAATTATTATCAGAGGCACAAAATTAATGAATTTCAAGTTTGTGATTTTATTTATATAAAAGTAAGCCCTATGAAAGGTGTCAACTGATTTGGAAGAAAACATAAGTTAAGTCTAAGGTACATTGGGCTTTTTGAGATGATTGAGCAGATTTGTAGTTTTGCTTATAACTTATTATTGATTGAACATATGTCAAATATACATAATATATTTCATGTATCTTCTTTGTGGAAGTGAGTATCTGATTTTGGAAAGATGTTATTTGCTGATGTGTTGAGGTTCAAACAAATCTGTAGTATAGGGAAGAGTTCGACAAGATTCTAGCACATAATTTGAGGAAATGGAAGAGCAAAAGAATTCTAATAGTTAAGGTGTAGTGAAAGCATAAGATCGTTAGAGAGGCTACTTGGGAAAAGGAATCTGAGATACGACAACTATATCCATATTAATTCTAAATTTTCTTGAATTAGAATGTCAAGGTTGTTGCAACTCGGGCTTCCGAGTGTATGATTTTGATGATAACAAATAATATTTATTAATCTTTTATTTCTCCTGGTATTTGCAGTGCATATTTCTTTCTATGTTAACTAATATTTCAGGTACATCATGCACCGTTCTTTGAAGATTCAAAGCTCAAGATTGCGTAGAATTGATCGTATTAAATGAGTCTGTAATTTTCATTTATTGAGTCAAGTCTTATAATGATGTATGTTAGTTTGTTGATCATGCAC